GCAGCAAAAAAGAGACCGCGACCGGGGGAGGACTTGAGATACCGAAGCACACGCACAGCAGCGGCTTCATGTGCCTGGGTATGAGTCTGCATAGCCTGACTGAGGAGATTAACCGCATATGTAACGTCAGGCCGCGTGACAGTGAGGTAGAGGAGACAGCCAACCAAGAGACGATACGCCCCCGGATCCACAGCCGGGGGGGAAGTAGTGCGACCAAGTTGATGCTGCTGTTCAATGGGTGTAGAGCAAGGCTTGACGGCCTCCAAACCAGCATCAGCCAAGATGTCTAAAACATACTTGCGCTGATTGAGAACAAGACCACGCGGAGAACGGGCCACTTCGATCCCCAAAAAATACTTGAGCTGACCGAGATCCTTAATGGTGAAGCGTTCATGTAGGAAAGCCTTCACCCGGGCGATAAAATCCAGATCGGTCCCAGCGTTGACGGTAAGTGAAAAGGGCATGATCAGCACTGCTGGCAACGAAGCCAAGCTCAAGGAGCGCCTGCGTAAACTTCTGGTACCAGTTGCGAGATGCCTGACGTAAACCATAAATAGATTTATGTAATCGGCAGACGCGGGTGTCACCCGGAGCAGCAAAACCTTGAGGAATAGCCATATAGACCTCCTCGTCAAGATCACCATGCAGGAAGGCATTATTGACATCGAGTTGATGAATATGCCACCCGCGAGTAACGACAACAGCCAGCAAGCAGCGCACAGTGACCAACTTGGCGACTGGGGCAAAAGTGTCATGGAAATCCACCCCTTCCACATGAGTAAAGCCCTTCGCAACAAGACGAGCCTTGAAGCGATCGATAGAACCATCCGGAAGAAATTTGATCTTATAGACCCACTTGCACGCTATACATTTCTTACCGGGAGGCAAAGGAACAATGGACCACGTGCCATTTTCAACCAGAGCCAGAAATTCACGAACCATGGCGTCTCGCCAGTGCTTGTAACGAACAGCTTGGTAGAAATGAGTTGGCTCGTGGGTAGCACTAACTGCAGCAACAAAGGCATGATGCGCAGTGGATAGCCGATGATACGTGACATAATCATCCAAGGGATAACGAACAGTGGCAGAGTGAGCTGCCCCAGGAAGATCCACATCATAGCCACGTAAACGAGTGGAAGGGAGTCGTACCCTGTCACCACGACGAACTGCTGGGGGAGCAGGAACTGGAGGAGTATGTAGCTCGGCAGTGGGAAAGACAGGAGACGACGCGGGAGCAGTCAAAGCAGGAGGGGAATCGTGTGTAGAGGAGGGCTGCTTGGGCGCGGCAGTGAGGTCAAAAGAAGGTGACGAGGTCTCCATGCGCGGACCGGTAGCAGGTGTATCCGCTACTCGCGGACTAGGAGGAGTCGGAGGAGATAGTAACTCCGGAGGTGCGATGTCCGCGTCCAGAGTGATATCCTCGGCAAGAGGAAGAGGAGCAGTGTTGCTCGTAATAGGAAAAGAGATCCGAGAGGGAGTGAGGGAACTATCCGCACCAAAATCCCGATAAGGAAACACAGATTCAAGGAAGTGAACATCACGAGAGGTATGGATGGTATGGCTCTCAAGATCATAGACCCTATAGCCACGCTGAGAAGATGGATAGCCCAGAAAAATGCCAGCACGATCCCGTGCACCAAACTTGTGAAGCCCATGATGATTGTCACGGGCATAAACTAAACAGCCAAAGCTCCGGAGATGATCATAAGTGGGATCCTTGTCGAACAAGACCTGAAATGGCGATTTATGGCCAATCGTAACCAGTGGCATGCGGTTAATGAGGTAAGCTGCAGTCAAGACACACTCACCCCAAAATTTGACAGGGAGATTAGCGTGGAAGCGAAGAGCGCGTGCAGTGTCTAACAAGTGACGATGTTTGCGCTCCACCACTCCATTCTGTTGTGGTGTGTCAGTGCAAGAGATCTGCAAAACAATACCTTCTTGCTCATAATATGCAGTTAATGCAGCAGTAGCTAACTCAGGGCCGTTGTCGGCCTGTATGCGCCGAACCCTTGTATGAAACTGGGTCCGCACAAGGTTTCAAAAGTAGAGAAGATGGCGAGCAACATCGGATTTATACTTCAACAGGAAAACCCAGACAGCACGACTAAAGTCATCCACGATCGTTAAAAAATAATGTGCGCCAGAGGTCGACGCAGTTTTATAACTTCCCCAAATGTCAATATGTATAGGATCAAAAACCGACTTAGTCTTAATGGTGCTGGTCACAAAAGAATTTCGAGTTTGCTTCGCCCGTAAACAAGACCGACAGGGCTCCTTATTATGAATGAAAGAACAATGAAGTAAAGGCTCCAAAGCATGTAACTTCGCTGCAGATGGATGCCCAAGACGAGAATGCCACAATTTAGTGCTATCCAGAGATCTTCGAACAGAGTGTGCCATCACATGATCCCGTCCAAACAACCGCAGGAAGTATAATCCGTCAACGTGCTTACCCATCCCAATCAGCCTCTTGGATGGTAGGTCCTGAATTACACAGAAGTCACCCAAAAATATTAACGCGACTGGTAAGTCAGCAGTCAGCCTACTGACCGAAAGCAGGTTGCACTGAAAATCGGGAACATGGAGAACACGACGTAACAACAGATCATCAGATAACTTGGTTGTCCCAATGCTGCGAACCTGAACACCTGTACCATTAGGGATTTTAACCTGAAGAGTGGGACTCGAGTCCAACTTAGAATCCAACAAGGAACGATTAGTAACGATATGTTCGTTACAGCCAGAATCAATAACCCACGAAGCTGATGAAACTGAGAAATTACCTGCCATATTTGAAGATGGCTCGGCTGAACCATGGTGCAAATCGCCACTGAGCAGCGCCTTTAGTTGCTCAAATTGACGAACCGAGAGACCCAGAAGTGGGTTGTCCGCTGCGTCAACCTGCGCTGCCTGCGGATTTGAGCGTGCCCCACGATCTGAGCGGCAACGAGGAGGCTCACCCTTCTCAAAATTCTTCGGTGGGAAGCCAATGAGACGGTAGCAAGTCTCTTTGAAATGGCCAGTGCGCTTACAATGGGAGCATTTTGGCTTCCCGTCCGCGTCGCGCTCCTTTTCACCATCACGTTCAGCAAGCAAGGAAGGGCGATCCACCCTCTTTTCTCCCTGCGCCTGGAAAACAGCAACTTTGGGTCGAGGACGCCGACTTGAGGTGATCAAGCGCTGTTGCTCGTCGTTGGTTACGAGCTGGTATGCTTCAGCAAGCGATGGAATTGGCTTCATTGCCAATATTTGCGACTTGACGGTAGCAAAGGCATCGTCGAGCCCTATTAAGAAATCGAACAAACGTTCTCCTTCCCAAACTTCTCTTTGACGCTTCTTGACATCACAAGTACAGCCTGAACATGTACACGTTAGGGAAGGAGTAAGGGATTGAATTTCATCCCACAAACCTCGCAATTTTGTGTAAAAGGCAGACACGGAAGTCTTCTCTTGCTGTAAGCAGGCGATAGTTCGCTTGAGCTCATAAAGTCGGCCGCCGCTTCCTTGTCCAAAACGGGCCTGCAGATCGACCCAAATTTCGCGAGCAGTCGACGCAAACCGAACACTACTTCGAACTTCTTTCGTCATGGAAGTCTTCAACCACCCCTTCACCATGGCGTTGCACCGAAGCAGCGCATCCCTTTCAGCCGAAGAACCAGCGCGCGGCAAGCTTCCATCGACGAAGCACATCTTATTTTTAGCGATCAGCGAGTCGGTGATATCAACCACCCATTCGCCATAGTTCCCATCCGAGAGCAGCTCACCAACGAAAAGGTTACTCGGGCTGTCTGACGGGTGAAGAATCAGATGCGACGGCAGCATAGTGTGGGGACCAGAACCCACGACCGTCGATGATTGGGGAGACTTACCAGAATTCGGAGTTTTGCCAGAGGCTTCATCGTCCGAACTCATGACGAAAACTGTGGGATCTACTCACAGCTCTGATACCATGTAAAATACGATAAACGCGGAAAGAACACGAGACCAGGATTTACGTGGTTTTCTCGTTCAATCGAACGAGACTAGTCCAGGGAGAGCTCGGAGCTCTCGGAGATGAAATTATTCTGATAGTTATGGTCTTAGGGTTCGGCGGCTACTGCCTTGCCCTATATACACGAAGAACAAATAATAAGCTTAACTCCTCAACATATAAACGTGGAGTTGGCAAATAACAAAATGACCCCTACAATTAATATAGAGTACGCAGGGATCACAACAAAAGATACAGTTTCTTTGACTAAATTCCTATGGTTGAGTCCAATTACAGATGTTAGTAGTCAAAAGCAGAAGGGGTGCTCTGTTTCAGTTGCAGGAGAAACAAAGAGTTGATGCTCTCGCTAAGCAATAATAATTTTATCTAATCAAATGTATAATCCACCCGTATCTTAATTGGACGACGATGCATATTCAATTTCAATAGTATTGGTGCGGTCACAAATGTCGACCCTTAGACCTTAGTTGGAGACGATTTTAGTTTTAAAATATGGTTATACCGCTATAAAAAGTGCGACACCAGTGACACTTTATTTGATTGGTCCATATGACTGTGATGTGACAAAAGCAGAGTTCATTAAACTCAATCCAAATTAGATGATCCATAAGAACACCCAAAGTAACGGAAAAGCTTCTCCGTCCTTTGCATTTTTCAGTTTTTTATTAATTCAATTAAACTTTCGTCTCCTTTGCCTCGGAAAGTTTGACTTTCGTCTCCTTGCAAAGGATAGAGAAGCTTTTCCTTTACATTGGGTGTGACCGTTTGGGCCAATTCTTATGGGCCATCTAATTTTGATTGGGTTTAATAAACCCGTTACCGGTGCCGCACTTTTTGTACGGCAGGCAGTGTAGTAGCGGCCTTAAAATATTGACTGGGCCGTGCGGCAAATTGGAGGGGATTGTTGTGAGATTAATAAAATGTGAGATGGGCTCTGCTATTACGGAGCGCATTGTCGTTTCAGCACGATGGCTATAGACATTTAGGCTTCTCAATTAAGCTAGTTAGGCCGAACGTGATTTCGTAGGTCGGACTACTAAGGATAAGGAAGTCAATGACGACAGCCCAGCCAGATCGGCCGGCAGAGTAGACTCCCAATCCCACAACTCTCCACTGTCGGTGTCGGATCCACCTCCGCCCTCACCCGACCCCAACCCGTCTCTCCCGTTCATGGAAAACGGAAATTTCCAGCCTCCCGCTTCTGGCGGAGGCGGCCACCGCATCAAGCTCAACGTCGGCGGCAAGCTCTTCCAGACCACCGTCTCCACTCTCCAGTCCAGCGGTCCCGACTCCGTCCTTGCTGCTCTCTCCACTCGCCCCGGCCCGGATCCGGTTTTCATCGACCGCGATCCCGATATCTTCTCCGTCTTCCTCTCCCTGCTCCGCTCCAATCGCCTCCCCTCCACAGCCCGCCGATTCTCCAAGCAGGAGCTTGCCGAAGAGGCCGCCTACTATGGGATCGAATCGCAGCTCCGATTGGCCATGGCTCCTCCTCCTTTGTCCGGCATCGATGCATCCGTCGTTGAGACTATTCGACCTGCTTCCGAAGGTCTCCCTTCCGCCTTCACCACCGCCGCTGACGACGGCTCCATCTGGATTGCCCACGGCGGACAGGTGTCGGCCTACGATTGGAACCTCACTCATTCCTCCACCATACGCACGCACCTCGACGATATCACTTCAATCTGCCGCGTCTGGCCCGACGTCGCCGCTCTTGGATCCGAGCCTTCCGCCGGGCTTCACTTCTACAACTTCTCTAGCTCCCGCCACATCGGGTCAACACACTGGACCGACCCGTCCGATCCGAGAATTTACAAAGCCCGAGTCACCGCAGTCACCAGCTCACCGGATAATGTTTTCGCCTCTTTCGATTGCCCGCACAGGGAGAACTGTATACTACTAGTAGACAAAACGACGCTCCAGGTTGCGTCGGAGATAGGAAGGCAATCCGGTAGCCAAGCGAAGAACATCGTCCCAGGGAAGCTGACGTGGCTGCCGACGATGGGCGTGATAATCGGAACGGCAGTTACCTCTGGTGCGTTCGGTTACTCCGGTTACATCCGTATCTGGGACCCTAGGTCTGGGGACGTGGTTTGGGAGACGAACGAGCCAGGCTCTGGACGGAGCAGCAGGTTCGGGGATTCCTTCGCCGACGCGGCGGTGGACGTCGAGGAGTCAACTCTGTTCAAGGTCTGTTCCAAATCCGGAGATGTGGCTGTAGCTGATATCCGCCATTTGGGGGATGATCCATGGGTGTATTTGGAAGATAAAAACCCTAGTATGAGATACACTGGGGAGCCTGGAGTCAGCAATGTATTGCATTGCTACAAGGGTCAAGTTTTTGTAGGGAGAGATGGGGCTTTGGAAGTTTGGTCGAGGGTTCATGAGAAGGAAGGAAGCGGGGAATTCGGAGAGGTGGAAGGAGGCAGAGCGATTACAGAAGATATGTACAGAAGGAATTATGTTGATAAAGTGGAGGATTCTGCGAAAGGGATCATCAGGAAAATTGAAGGAGGTGGGAATCGGTTGTTTGTTAGTAGGGAAGATGTGGAAGGTATTGAAGTTTGGGAAAGCTCCAATCTTTCTGATGCAGTAGCTGTTTCCACGTGAATCAAAGAACTTTTGGTAGCATTGGAGATTTGGGGTTTCAAAGGAGGCTTTCATTGAATTGCTTTCTTCATTTGTTGGGTATTCTAGGTTAGTATGTTCCTCATCCTTGTATATTCCTCACTTCATTTGTATGCTTTTGCTGTATTCTCAGTGTTTCTTTGTCTTGTTCTTAGAGTTATTTATACATACAATTGGAAACTTGCAAGACAGTTTTTTTTTCTCGATACTAAAATGATCATCTTTACTAACTCTTACTGACACTGTAATAGTTGTTTCTGGCCTCGTTTGTTTAACCTTTGAACTAAGTCCCAACTGTAGAACTAAAAGCTAGTAATAGTTCTTTTTTCAACCACCAAAACAGTCATAACCATTATGCTACTTCTGAGCGAGGCCACAGATAAGGTTGAAATGCTGGTGTGATTAGACCACTCAAACATGTATAAGGCCCATCTAACTTCTAACTTGTCACAATTCCTTGAATTGCAGCCTATAGAATGCTATTTGCATGGAGCCACTTGTAGTCAGTTGAATCCTTTCCCTCGTTTGTACTACAATCTTTATTTTGGCTTTCTGTCATCGAAGCGAGTTTTACCGCAGTGGTCTGGTCCAAATTTCTCATATTGTTCGCTCTAGGCCAATTTGGTATTTGGATTTGGGCATTTGGCTTCCGAAGACAAAAGTCAGCTCTATCTATCCATCTTAAATCTTGCTTGAGTGATTTATGATGTTCTGTTTCGTGAGAGCTGCAGCTGGTGCGGAACTCGAGATGATTTCAGTAGTGACTGGTAACTGTTTCCAAGCAACAATTTGCTATATGTATGTTTTATTTTAGAAGTTTTCCCTTTCCATCTTTCATATCACCCACCGTACAGCAGGCAGAAGATAGTGACCCTGGAGCTGCTTCTTCTGGTGCTGGACTAACTGTGATGTATAAGTAAGGGATTTTGACATGCAACACTAGTGACGGTTACCTGTAATTCATCGTATCATTTATAGTTCCAACTGCCTCTAATCTGTTTTAAGGGTAGCATTTGTATTTAATTCGTAATTGTAGAATGTTTGATCTTGCATCAAGTTGTTAACTGTTCTATGAGGTAAGAGATATCAAAACGCTTATCAGCTCAGTGAAATATGTTTAGTGCTTACTGAATCGGTATTGTTGAAGTAAGAATTTCATAATCATGTACAATAATGGATGGCGCTTGGTCTTTAGCTTCTTGTTTTTTCTTTTTTGTGCAAGCAGTTTAAGGACTAGCTTACTGTCTTTAATATCTTTTGAGGATAGAAATGTTATGTGGATGGTCTTACCTTTTGCAGTAGCTTCTGGCTTTACTGATAGAAGTATTATGTAGATGGGAAAGGGCAAGGGCCAAAATAGCGTTAACTGTCCTATTTCAAGGACGGTGGGACAGGAAGGGACGAACTGTTCCATTCTTGTTAGTTTTCAGAGCATTAGTTTTTCGGGAGATCATTTAAGTCGAGGAAATTTTTGGTCAGAGCATTAGTTTGTCGTCAAGTGCTGGGTTTCATTGGCTCCGGCTTCAAACGGAGTGGTGAAGACCCCGTAGGACAAAGTGTAGTTGGGTCCGGGATTTTGATTAAACTCCCTTGATAGTTTTTATAACCCCTTTTCATGATAGAGAATTGCGCTAGCATGTTTGGTGCTTGTTGATGTCATTGATTGAATATTACACGATACGGCGATCCAACAATGTGATTATGTGCTGGTTGGTTGTTTGCATCAGCCGAATTGCATGTTTCAGCACTTGACATTTTAATTAAAAAAAATGAAAGATGCCCTTGTGATTGTCAAATAGGATGTGTATGGTGCCATCTTTTTGTTAAGGCTGCATAAACAGACGATTTCCGTCCTCCAATTCCCAAGCGGGGAAAGCCGCAAGTCTGTACAGATGCCTTTTCTCAGACAGATGGGAGAAGGCGGTTGCGATCTTTCTATCAAAGGCAAAAGGGAAATGTTGGTGGCAATGCCTGCAGAGTGCAGACTAGGTGAATGGTTTATTCTTTTCGTCAAAGGTCCAATTCTGTATGCATAAAAATAACAGACATGCTGGCTTGTATTATATTGCTTGAGCAAAGAATTCTGTCTGCTTTCTTATTAGATTTTTAACTTTTACTCATGTTGAGCAGCTCATAACTTCTGGCATTCCCCGCCTGATACTGCAACGTGATGTGGGGAAAGCGAGGTAGGATCTTCAGGTAAAGCCGTAAAGATGAAGAGAAAGAGCATGAAGGTTCCTTTTTTTTTTTTTTGCACTTGCCAAGCTTATGCTGGTTCATTATTAGCTTTACTCGTATTGAACACTAATTCCTAGGAGAATCTGTCACCTCCTCTTATTTATGACCCTAGTATCCCCCTGCATACACCATAATTTGCTTTTATCTCTCATCCATAATAATTTCTTCTCTCTTCCTTGTTTCCTGCTATGGAAACTCATCCCAAATTTGCATCAGTGGCAGGATGTAGCAGTGAGGAACGTTCCAGTCAGACAGTTGCAGCAGATCTAGAAGGCACTCTCCTACTGTCATCAAGCTCTTTCCCTTACTATCTCCTCATCGCTCTCGAAGCTGGAAGCCTGCTAAGAGCAATTATACTTCTCTCATCACTACCTGTCGTCTACTTGGTGTCCATTTTTGTTTCGGAGGCTGCGGCAAGTAAGCTGATTATTTTCATAGCCTTTGCTGGACTCAGGTTGAGAGATATTGAACTTGTCTCCAGATCCGTCTTGCCTAGGTTCTATGCAGATGATGTCCACCCAGACACTTGGCCAGTGTTTGATTCGTTTGGGAAAAGATACATAATTAGTACCAGTCCTAGAGTTATGGTCGAACCGTTTGCCAAGATGTTTCTGGGGGCTGACAAAGTTCTGGGCACAGAGTTACAGATCACAGGGACAGGGAGGGCTACTGGTTTCGTTGCAAAACCTGGACTTATGGTGGGACGGCAGAAAAGCGATGCCGTGATAAAGGAATTCGGCTCAAATTTACCCGACGTTAGTCTTGGAGATGAACCCTCTGATCACCCTTTCATGGCCTTGTGCAAGGTCAGATCTCAAAAGGCCTCACTTTCATATTTCTGTGCTTGTGCTTGTTTCAATATTTTGCTAGGTTGAGAAAAGGATACCTTTTCCCGATGAAATCAAAACAACTCTACCACAACTTGAGCCGACTTTCTATTGCTTGCAGGAGGGTTACATGGTGCCAAAAACTGAGTGCCAGCCACTACCAAGAAAGAAGCTCCGAAGGCCAGTCATAGTCCATGATGGCCGGTTGGTTCAAAGACCGACTCCATTAGTTGCCCTCTTAACCTTCTTATGGATCCCAATCGGGGTCCTTCTCTCCTTTGTACGCCTCTTTCACAGCGTACCTCTGCCAATGAGCATCGTCCACTACACGTCCCGCCTAGTTGGGGTAAAGCTCATAATCAACGGTACTCCTCCACCCCCACCGGCAAAGGGCAGAAGCGGAGTCCTCTTCGTCTGCAATCACCGCACGGTTGCTGACCCTCCTATGATAGCGGCCGCACTGGGAAGAAACCTTAGTTGTGTTACGTACAGCATAAGCAAAGCCACAGAGTTGATTGCCCCTATTAAAGCTGTTGCCTTGACGAGAGACCGGTGTGAAGATGCTGCTCAAATCAGGAAGCTTCTCGAAGAAGGCGACATCGTGGTTTGTCCCGAAGGCACTACTTGTAGGGAACCGTTTCTGCTGAGGTTCAGCCCTCTATTCGCTGAATTGTCCGACAGGATTGTGCCGGTGGCGGTCAAGGTGAGGCAGAGCATCTTCTACGGGACGAGTGCTCGTGGGTACAAGTTGCTGGACCCTTACTTTCTGTTCATGAACCCAGTGCCGGCTTTCGAGATCACGATTTTGGATCAGCTGCCAAAGGAGATGACCTGTGGAGGTGGCAAGTCCGCAATTGAGGTTGCCAACTATGTGCAGAGGGTGCTTGGGGATGCTTTGAGGTTTGATTGTACGAGGTTAACTCGCAAGGATAAGTATGCGCTGCTTGCCGGAACGGATGGGAGCGTCGAGCAGTCGCCGAAGAAGGAATGAGACGTGTGAGGAGTTTTTACAGCGTGTGGGGTGTAATTTTCAGTAATTTAACTTCGGGGGAATACTTGTAGATCAAGAATAAAGATGTGGAATTTACGTATTTGAACAAGGCAAAATACACTTGTACTTTGTGACAATAATAGTCAAATTTTGAAAAATACACAATTATAGTCATACTTTTTAAACTTGTTTGACTAATTTAGCCATTCCCGTCAAATACTTTAATAGCGTTAATAACTCCATCCGTTAATTGAATGTTATGCTGATGTGGCGGTCATGTCCACCCAGCCTCCCCATTTCCACAATCAAATTCATCATTTATTAAATGTTAATTACATAAAAACAAAAACAAAAGGAGAATGAGAAATATGTCTCTCCATCTTCCTTTCTTCATCTTCTCCTGCCTTCGTTTTTGCTCATCCTCGCCGGAAAATCAGAGCTTAGAGCTCTGCCCCTTCAATGGTGATTCCCAAACCCTAGAATCTGTCAATCCCCAAACCGAGAAATTCTCTCTCTTTCTCCCCTCGCCACCGCCGCCAACGAAAAGAATCCCCTCAGCCATAAAATCCCTAATTTGACGATTTTACAGAAATGTTGGAAAGAGGAGCTCAGCTCATTCTGAGGCTTCTCTGTTCTTTTATATCAAACCCAGCAATTAGCAGAAACGAAACACGTGTCCAAACGAGAGTGGCTACAAGTTTTAAATAAACAGTAATTATAACGGCTAACAACTACTAAATGAAACGCTGCCGTTGCTTCCTTCTCCTTCTGTCGACATAAGAAAACGTTGCCGTTTCTTCCTCTGCTTTTCTTCTCTTCTGCAAATCCTGCTGTCATCTGGATTACAACAGAACAATCCAGCTTCCTTTCTTCTTCTCTTGGACCTTGATCCTGCATTTGGTTCTGTCATCCCCCCTCAAGTTGGTGGTGTCAGCTTAATCCCCAACTTGACCAGCAATTCTCTCAACCTGAAACGATCAAGGCCCTTTGTGAAAATGTCTGCTAACTGTTCTGCAGTGTTGATGTACTTCAGCTTTATCAAACCAAGTTTCACCCTTTCCCTTGTCACATGCATGTCAATCTCGATGTGTTTAGTCCTCTCATGGAAGACGGGATTCTCTGCTATGTGAATTGCAGATCTGTTGTCACAGTAAACAGTAATGGGTAGAGGAACTTGTACTGTCAGTTCAGCTAGTAGCCTCTTTAGCCATTCCACCTCACAAACCAAGTGAGCTAGTGCTCTATACTCTGCCTCTGAGGAAGACCTTGAAACTGTAGTCTGCTTCTTCGTTTTCCACGTGATCAAAGAAGTACCAAGCATGGTACAGTATCCAGTGATGGATCTTCTTGTGTCTGGACAACTTGCCCAATCTGAGTCACTATAGGCTGTCATAGTTAACTCAGCCTTGCTGCTGAAATGTATCCCCTGATCTGGTGAGGACTTCAGGTACCTTAACACTCTGTAGGCTGCCTGCATGTGTTCCTGGCAAGGAGACCTCTGATATTGGCATAGCTGTTGCACAGCAAATGCTATATCAGGTCTAGTGATGGTCAGGTAATGTAGCCTGCCAACCAATCTCCTATACCCTTCTGCATCATCCATAGGAGTTCCTTTGGATGTTGATTTAACCTTGGTGTCAACTGGTGTTTTGCACCCCTTCGATTCAAGATAGCATGTGTCTTTTAAAAGCTCCAATCAGTACTTTCTCTGACAAACATTCAATCCACTTGCATCTCTGCTCACTTCTAATCCCAGAAAGTACTTGAGTGGTCCCAGCAGCTTGATTTTGAATTCTTTGCTAAGAGCCAACTTCACTTGTTCAATGTCCTTCTTTGAGTCTCCCCCCAGAATTATGTCATCAACATAAACTAGCAAAACAGTTACCTTACCATGTGTCCACTTAGTGAAAAGTGAGTAATCAGAAGCAGATTGTGAGAAGCCAAACTTCAAGAGAAAAGAGGTCAGTTTGGCAAACCACTGTCTAGAGGCTTGCTTGAGCCCATACAGTGACTTCTTGAGTCTACAGGTCATCTTCTGATTACTCCCTGAAGGTACTTCCAGTCCTAATGGCAACTTCATGTACACTACTTCATCCAGGTCTCCATGCAGGAAAGCATTGGAGACATCCAACTGCTCAAGTATCCAGTTCTTTACACTTGCCACTGCCAAAAATGTCTTCACTGTATTTATCTTTGCCACAGGGGAGTATGTATCCAGAAAATCGATACCATACACTTGTGTATACCCCTTGGCCACCAATCTGGCCTTGTTCCTTTCCAATGAACCATCTGGAAGTAGTTTTATCTTATAGACCCACTTGTTTCCCACTTCTTTCACTCCTGGTGGTAGGGGAACTATATCCCAAGTTTGGTTTGCTTCTAGAGCATGCATCTCTTCTTTCATTGCTCTATTCCACACATCAGACTTGATGGCTTCATAATAAGACCTTGGTTCAACATGATTCAGTACACTCAGGACATACAGTTGGTCTTCTTTGCTCAATGAATGAACATTCAAACATACTGGATGTTTGCCACATGCTTGACTAGTGCCAAAGGCTCCAAACTTGAGTGTGGAATCTAACTGATAGTCCTTGAATCTGGTAGGTAGATTGATTTGTCTGGAGGTTTTCCTGGCTTCAAGTGTATTAGGGTCATCGGGATCTATGTCAGCTTGGATGTGTAACTCCTGGCTATCAGAGTCAAAATATGTGTAATGATCATTGCCATCAGTGAGGACTGGCTCAGATGACATTGCTTCAGGACTAGGCTCAGTGTTCCCCCCTTCATCTATAGATGAAAGAGACTGAGCAGGGGTTGACACAGGTTGTGAAGGTGGTACAATGGGAAAGGGAACATGAAGTGGGGGAGCATGAGAAGGCATTTGAGAGGGAACAGAATAAGGGGGAATGGGTGGAGACAGGGAGGGAGTGGAGACTGGTTGTGTTTTGAAAGGGATGATAGTCTCATAGAATGAGACATCTCTAGAAAAGAAGACTTTTCTATCATGTATATCCAGAACCTTATAACCCTTGATACCAGCAGGTATACCAAGAAACACACATTGTCTGGCTCTTTGAGCAAATTTTGTTCTGGCATGGGATAATGTGTTGGCATAGCAAAGACAGCCAAACACTTTCAAGTGACCAAGGGGTGGCACTTGCTTGTGAAGTAACTCATAGGGGGTTCTGTTATCTAATATAGGTGTGGGAATCCTATTTATCAGATACACAGCATGTAAAACAAAATCACTCCAATAGGTTAGAGGCAACCCTGATTGGAATTTTAAGCATCTAGCAACATTTAAAATGTGCTGGTGCTTCCTCTCTACCCTTCCATTCTGTTCTGGTGTTTCCACACAGGAAACCTGGTGTTCAATCCCTTCTGTTTTGAAGAACTCACACATCTCAAACTCCTTACCTTGATCAGTTCTTATCACCTTGACTGATGTGTTAAACTGGTTTTTAACCAGGTTACAGAAACCCTGTATTAAGTCTCTAACTTCACTCTTATGCTTCATCAAATACACCCATACACATCTTGAATGATCATCCACAACAGTCAAGAAATAGGTAAAGCCATCATAAGAAACAGTAGACAAGGGACCCCAAATATCCATGTGAACAAGATGAAAAATCTCAGGTGCAACACTGGTGCTAATGGGAAATGGTAGTTTTCTTTGTTTGGACAAATGACAAACTTCACAGTGAAGAGTCTTAGGTCTGGAAAGAGTTGGAATTACAGAACTAAGTAAGGAAAGCCTATCATGACTAGGGTGTCCTAGCCTCCAGTGCCACAGGTTCAGGTCTTGGGGTTGAAAGTTGAATGTGAAGGCTGCTTGATGTTGGTGATCAGTGATGGAAGGCTTGATGGAGCTTGAAGGGAGTGCTAGGTGATAGAGGCCTCTAGTGGTGTGGGCTAAACCAATCCTCTTCTGGCTTATCAGGTCCTGGATTTCACATTTATCAGAGTGAAAGTGTAAGGAAAAAGGGTAGTCATGTGTGAGTTTGCTAACAAAGATGAGATTGAATGAGAAATGGGGAACAAACAGGACATCATGTAGTGTTAGGCCACAGGCCAACTTAACTATTCCTACATGTGTGACTGCTACTTTGGTGCTATTTGGAAGGTAAACAAAGGAATCATGGACTGGTTTGCAGCTGGAAAAGAGGTTTAGACTACAGGCAATATGGTCTGATGCTCCTGTATCTACAATCCATAGGTTATGATTAGTGGTTCCATTACTTGGAGAAGAAGACAAGGCAAGTTTACCTGAAAAGTTGGGAAAGGTAGTTGGGTGGAAGGTTGCTGAGTAAGCTTGATGGTTAAGAGATGGAGAGGTAGGTGGGGATGATGTATTAGCACCAGTCTGCAGTAGGTACCTGAGACGATTCATCTCTTCAGGAGTAAAGGCAGGGGGAGCAGTAACCTTACCTTCAACGGCTATACCTCCTTCTGATGCACTTTCATTTCCACTTCCCTGAGAAATAGACCCAGCAAACCGAGGAGTACTGGAACTGGAACTGGAACTTGACCCCTCATTAGAGTTTCTCTCCTTCTGCATCTCCTGTTTCCTCTTCAACTTCCAACAATCCTCAATAGTATGATTGTTCATCTTACAAAACCGACAAAACTTCCTTCCCTTTGAATCTGTATTCTCCCTTGAACTGTTCTCCCCAACTGCTAAAGCCAAGCTCTGTCCCTTCTTTCCACTTGTAGTTGTATCTGCCTTCAGCTTCTGTTCATGCTGGAGTAAGTCATCAACAGCAGCAGATACAGTGGGAAGAGGTTTTTGCATAAGCAATTGCGTCTTAACCACTTCATAGTCTGGATTCAAACCTCTCAAGAAACGTATCAAGTAGTCAGTTTCTTGCTTCTGCACGAAGGCAGCAACTGCAGCACAAGGAATTGGATTTCCAGGTGCACAAGTACAAGGAGTAATGGGGGTAAACTCCACATACTCATCCCAAAGACCCTTAATGGCAGTGTAATACTGAGTAATGGACTTGGATCCTTGTTTACAGGCTTGGATCTCGTCTTCCAGGTTCACAATCCTCATAGCATTAGGCTGACCAAAACGCCTCTTTAGTTCCTCCCACAGTGTTTTCGAATTGTTATGATTCAGTATCGATCTCCTAAGTTCTTTGGTCATGGAGTTCTGAATCCAACACAAGACCACTGTGTTGCAGGCATCCCACAAACCAAACAGATCTGCATCTCGAGGTGGTACTGGAATAGATCCATCTATAAAACCGATCTTGTTCTTTGCTTTCAACACAACTTGCATACAACGACTCCACATAACATAGTTCGTGCCATCAAAAGGCTCAGCAACAAGAGATTGAGACATGTTCTCATTTGGGTTAAGGTAGTAGGGGTTACCAAAGACGATTGTCTCAGGCTGGATTTGAGTCTGGTCGAAGGAACCAAAACGCACCCCTGAAGCTGATGTTGTTCCACTGCCGGTGCTCCCATTGTTCGGCGGCGTCTGAGGTGGAGTCTGCCTCGCTGACATTCTGTCGTCGTTTACGGAAAACCCTAGAGCGGCGGAAGCTCTGATACCATGACGATTTTACAGAAATGTTGGAAAGAGGAGCTCAGCTCATTCTGAGGCTTCTCTGTTCTTTTATATCAAACCCAGCAATTAGCAGAAACGAAACACGTGTCCAAACGAGAGTGGCTACAAGTTTTAAATAAACAGTAATTATAACGGCTAACAACTACTAAATGAAACGCTGCCGTTGCTTCCTTCTCCTTCTGTCGACATAAGAAAACGTTGCCGTTTCTTCCTCTGCTTTTCTTCTCTTCTGCAAATCCTGCTGTCATCTGGATTACAACAGAACAATCCAGCTTCCTTTCTTCTTCTCTTGGACCTTGATCCTGCATTTGGTTCTGTCATAATTAGCCAAAGAGGGATTTTACTTCCATTCTTCCTTCCCTCAATCCCCAATCTCTTCGTCCTTCAATCTCTCTGTTTGTCCTTTCTTTTGGGAAACCCGCTCGCAGAACCTCCATTCTGGGAAGAGCATGGCGATGAAGATGATGAAGCACCCCAACATCATCAAGCTCCACGAAGTGATGGCGAGCAAGTGAAAGATCAAAATCGCCATGGAGCTCGTCCACGACGGCGATATTTTCTCCAAGATCGAGAGAGGCTGGTTGAGAGATGACGTCACCAGAGTGTACTTCCAACAACTGATCTCCACCATCGATTCTGCCACAGCCGCGACGTCTACCATCGAGATCTGAAATCCAGAGTTCCGTCCTGGTTCTCCTCCGAGTCTCGCCGCCTCGTCTTCCACGATCTTGGTTATGGATTTGGAATCACAATCTGGGTTGTCGATGAACGGTGGCAATGAAGGGGTTCGGCAACGCATCAGAAGAAGGGAAGAAATGGCAGTGGCTGTGTAAGATCTGGAAGTTGCAAACGACGCCACCGGATAGGTTGGTCAGCAAGGAGAAAGAGGCCGGCCGGCGGGTAGGATTGTTCGGGGAGATGTGGATTCACTCTGGAGGTGAAGAAGGATTTTGAGGCCGCGGCCGTAACTTTGGATTCACTCTCAACTCATCAGACGATTCGATCGATGTGGCCTTCCTGCTAATGAAAAGGGTGATAGCGGCAGTTTTGAGTAGCTTTAAAGTGCTAGCGACGAAGGACGGTGATGAACCAGTGTTGGGTTTTGGATTTTGATTAAGGAGATGGAGAATTAAACGGCGGCAGGGAAGGGAAGGTAAAGAAAGGGACGGTGATAAAAGAAAGTTAATCAATTTTTATTATTTTTTATTCCCCGCCCCTTTTAGTTAATTACAATAACAATTAGAATTGCCAACTTGGAAAATTCAACCGAAAAAGTTGACAGGTCATCAAAAATCGTTAGTCCAGTCAGCATGTATTATTGCACCGTTAAAGTTATGGACGGATTGACTATTTTAGTGTATTTTCCAAAATTTGGCTATTATTGTCACAATGTGCAAAGGTATGGCTATCCACGTGTATTTTGCCTTTAAACAATAATGAGGCCTTTTGGTTTGCCTTTCTTGGTCGTGACGTTTGTTTCCTCGACTAGTCAATCCGGAAGGTGGTGGTTATTTCCTCCAAGTGGGAGGGCTAAAGGTAGATGTGTCAATCGGGCTGGGTTCATTCGGGTTGCGAGTTGGTCGGGTTGCGGGTTCATGGGGTTCGGGTTGATCGGGTTATGGGTTACTCGGGTTACGGGTCAATTGGGTTGCGGGTCAATCGGGCTGCGGGGGATTACGGGTCAATCGGGCGCGGGTCAATCGGGTTGCGGGTCGGGCGGTTCGGGTAACGGGTCGGGCAGGTTAAGGGTCATTGACTTTTAGTCAAATCGGGTTGCGGGTCGGGTTGATCGGGCAGATTACTCAGGTCGGGTTACATTTTGACAGCTATAGCTAAAGGGAGCTTTGTTCCGTATTTCACTGTACGTTTTTATGATCTGTATAGTATTTACTAATGGTACTTTATTATTATTATTATCTTTATAAAAGAACAAGTAAGAAGTTACTATTGCATAGTGTCCCATCACAAGGGTTTTTTTTTTAATTAACCAAAACTTGGAGGAGTTTCATGGCATTAAGGTTCTAATCAATTAATTTTATGCTATTAACATTCTAATCAATTAACTTATGACAATTGAATCCTAATTGAACCCAACTCAATGGGTATTCAACATGATTAAAGCTATTTGAACTCAGTTTTTATAAATTTGGGTCGACAACGAATTATTATTATTATTATTATTATTATCTCTATAAAAGAACAAGTAAAAAGTTACTATTGCATAGTGTTCCATCACAAGAGTGCTCTTTTTATAATTAACCAAAACTTGGACGAGTTTTATGGCATTAAGGTTCTAATAAATTAATTTTATGCTATTAACATTCTAATCAATTAACTTATGACAATTGAATCCTAATTGAACCCAACTCAATGGGTATTCGACATGGTTAAAGCGATTTAAACTCGATTTTTACAAATTTGGGTCGACAACGAATTTTACACTCTTAAATCAATGGGTTGAACCGGGTAAGCGAGTTTTACATGCTTAAATCAATATAGTGAGTTGGATTCGGTATTAACGAATTCTGGGTCGAGCAAGTTTTTTATTTTTGTCTTTCTTTTGCTTATCAATCACGGTTACGGTCGTTTTACTACTTTTTATGGCTCCGCCTATCAAATGGTTTTTTAAGGGTTTTTTTTTTCGTTCTCTCAGGCTTGCAAATGATTTTGTAGACTATAGAGGTTAGATGATTTTAGTCACAACCTTGAAACTCTTTAAAAGAACAAGTTTTGGGTTAATATTTGGTAGAGTCACATCAACCAGGACGATTTATTGTTTACTTTTCTTTAATTAATCAAATGCTTTTATTATTGCATAGTGTCCCATCACAAGGGGTGCTCTTTTTGTATATAGCCAAAATTTGGACGAGTTTTATGGCATTTAAGGTTCTAATCAATTAATTTTATGCTATTAACATTCTAATCAATTAACTTATGACAATTGAATCCTAATTGAACCAAACTCAATGGGTATTCGACATGGTTAAAGCGATTTGAACTCGGTTTTTACAAATTTAGGTCGACAATGAATTATACACTCTTAAATCAATGGCTTGAACTGGGTAAGTGAGTTTTACATGCTTAAATATATACAGTGAGTTGAACTCGGTATAAACGAATTTTGGGTCGAGCAAGTTTTTTTTTTTTTTTTGTATTTCCTTCGTTTATCAATCACAGTTAAGGTTGTTTTACTACTTTTTATGGCTCCGCCTTGCAAATTGTTTTTTACCGGGTTTTTTTTCCCTCGTTCTGTCAGGCTTGCAAATCATTCAGAGACAATAGAGGTTAGATGATTTAAGTCACAACCTTGAAACTCTTTAGAAGAACAAGTTTTGGGTTAATATTTGGTAGAGTCACATCAACTAGGATGATTTTATTGTTTACTTTTCTTTAATTAATCAAATGCTTTTATTATTGCATAGTGTCCCATCACAAGGGGTGCTCTTTTTGTAATTAACCAAAATTTGGAGAAGTTTTATGACATTAAGGTTCTAATCAATTAATTTTATGCTATTAACATTCTAATCAATTAACTTATGACAAAAAAATCCCAATTGAACCCAACTCAATGGGTATTCGACATGGTCAAAGCGATTTGAACTCAGTTTTAACAAATTTGGGTCGACAACGAATTTTACACTCTTAAATCAATGGGTTGAACCGGGTAAGAGAGTTTTACATGCTTAAATCAATAGAGTGAGTTGCACTCGGTATAAACGAATTTTGGTTCGAGCAAGTTTTTTTTTTTTTTGGCTTTCCTTCGATTATCAATCACGATTACGGTTGTTTTACTACTTTTAATGGCTCCGCCTTGCAAATGGTTTTTTACTGGATTTTTTTTTCCGTTCTGTCAGGCTTGCAAATGATTTTGGAGACAATAAAGGTTAGATGATTTTAGTCACAACCTTGAAACTCTTTAGAAGAACAAGTTTTGGGTTAATATTTGGTAGAGTCACATCAACTAGGACGATTTTATTGTTTTCTTTTCTTTAATTAATCAAATGCTTTTATTATTGCATAGTGTCCCATCACAATGGGTGCTCTTTTTGTAACTAACCAAAATTTGGAGAAGTTTTATGACATTAAGGTTCTAATCAATTAATTTTATGCTATTAACATTCTAATCAATTAACTTATGAAAATCGAATCCTAATTGAACCCAACTCAATGGGTTTCGACATGGTTAAAGCGATTTGAACTCGGTTTTTACAAATTTGGGTCGACAACGAATTTTACACTCTTAAATCAATGGGATGAATTGGGTAAGCGAGTTTTACATGCTTAAATCAATAGAGTGAGTTGAACTCGGTATTAACGAATTTTGGGTCGAAAAAGTATTTTTTTTTGTCTTTCCTTCGCTTATCAATCACAGTTATGGTCGTTTACTACTTTTTTTTTTGCTCCGCCTTGCAAATGGTTTTTTACCCAGTTTTTTTCGTTCTGTTAGGCTTGCAAATGATTTGGTGACTATATGGGTAAGATGATTTTAGTCACAACCTTGATAATCTTTAAAATAACAAGTTTTGGGTTAATATTTGGTAGAGTCACATCAACTACGATTTTTTTATTGTTTACTTTTCTTTAATTAATCGAATACTTTTATTATTTCCTGATAATTTAACCCAAATTCATATGTATTTAACCCAATTTGACCCGGTTTTGGAATTGGTGAATTGTGGGTTGTGAACGAATTTTACCCATCCTTTAAACATTTTCTCTTATGACTATTGAACCCAAATTCATGTGTGTTCAAACTAATTCAAGCCGGAGTCGATGTATACGAATTTTGGGTCACTTTGGGATTGAACCCAAATTAACCCCCCCGCCCTTATGACAGTTGAACCCAAAATTTCTATCGAGTTAAATTCAATATTGACGCATTTTTGGTCGAGAACGGTTTTATCCTTGACACTTTTGGGGGTGTGAATGAATTTTATCCACTTCTGTAATCATCGAATTGGGTGGAGAACGCACTTTCCTGCTTTATTGAGCAACAAATTGGGTCGCGTGGTGATTTTGTTAGAAACTCGCCCGCTTTATCAAACCGGTTAGAGAAATTCATGTGTGTTCAAGCTAATTCCTGTGTGTTCACAAATTTTGGGTCGCTTTGAGATTGAACACAAATTGAACCCAAATTCATGTTTGTTCAAACTAATTTGACCCGGTACCGGTGTTGCCGAGTTTGGGTCGAAAATAAAATTTACCCACTTTTAAAATTAATGAATAGGTCAGGTATGCATTTTTGTCAAAAACACACCTCGCTTTATCGAGTTAAGTCCAGTGTTGACGCATTTTGGGTCGATGGCGAGTTTTACCCTTGACACTTTTGGGGGCGAGAACGCATTTTACCTGCTTTTGTGATCGATGGATTGGGTCGCTTGTGGATTTTGTTAGAAACTAGCCTTGCTTTATCAAACCGGTCAAAGAAATTCATGCGTGTTCAAGTTAATTCATGTGTATTCACACATTTTGTATCGCTTTGGGATTGAACCCAAATTGAACCCGCCTTTTATGACAGTTGAACCCAAAACCCCTTTTTATCGAGTTAACCTTAATGTTGACGCATTTTGGGTCAAGGACGAGTTTTACCCTTTACACTTTTGGAGGCCTGAATGAATTTTATCCACCTTTGTAATCATCGAATTGGGTCGAAAGCACATTTTACCCGCTTTTGTGATTGACAAATTGGGTCGAGTGTGGATTTTGTAGAAACTCGCCCGCTGTATCACACCGATCAGACAAATTCATGCGAGTTCAAACTAATTCATGTGTGTTCACAATTTTTGGGTCGCTTTGGGACTGAACCCAAATTGAACCCGCCTTTTATGACAGTTGAACACAAATTCATGTGTGTTCTAGCTAATTTGACTCGAGTTTTTGATCGAGAACAAATTTTACCCGCTTTTTTAATTAACAAGTTAACAAATTGGATCGGATGGGATAGTTGTTACGAATTCGACCCGCTTTATCGAGTTGAATTCATTTGTGACGAAATTTGGGTTGGGGACGAGTTGTACCGCTTTTGTAATCAACGAATTGTATTTCATGTGGATTTTGCTAAAAGCTCACTCTGC